GCATCTCCAAGTCTCAGGGACACCGGGAAGACGTCCCTTCTGGCCCCTTCTGTGTCCCCACTGCTTTCCAGTTAGACTGCACCTGCCCTCCTCAGAGTGTCTGAACTCAACGCGTCACATCAGAGAAGCCAGAAACACAACACTATGTGGATGGGCCTGGCAGCTGTGACAGCACCACCCCATCCTCTCCTGTATGTCCCCAGCAGGAGACTCCTGTGCATCAAGATGTCAACCAGGGATCTATTCTTGTCCTTGGCTGAGCCCTGCCTCAGGCATTTCCAGAGAGCCAGGGACTGTGACTAAGGGCCTCAAGTCACTGCAACTGAGTTAAACACAGAACTGGGTAAACCCTCCGGCTTTAGTGCATGGCTAATCCCAGGGTGGTGGGGAGTGGGGATGCAGTTGTCCTGGGTCCTGATCAGAGCCCTGGGTCTTCTTCAAGGCTCAGCACTAACCCCCCCCTCCTCCTCCCCCTCCTCCTCCTCCAAGAAGCCTTCCTGGACCACAGCATCCTTCTTCCCCTCCATCATTTGCTCAGCAATTGCATCTTGGGCACGAAGACAAGGAGGAGCCCAGGCCACAAAGATAAATGAGCCAGACCTGTCTTGCTGACTTTTAGGCATTCATAGTTCAAGGGGGAGGAACACCTGCAGGTACAGAACTGACACCAAGAGCCACCATGAACTGAGTGTCTATGTCAGGCACTGCGCACATGACAGCGCCCTGGGAGCGGGCTTGTCATGGCCCCAACTTCAGGAAACAAGGTTAAGTCTTACTCTGAAGGTCACACAGCATGGACCTGCAAGCTGGAGACTCTGGAGATTCCCCAGAGGACAAGTTTGATGTTCACCTATTTCAAAAGTGGAGAAAGCAGGATGATCAAGACTAGATGTTTGTGAACAGTCAGACCTCACACTGGATTGCAATGTCAGTTCTGAATAAGCAGCTGAAGGCGGTAAGGCACATTTCCTTTTCCAGGAAGGTGGTAAAGTAGCTAAGGCAGGTGTGCTCTTAGATTGGAAAACTGAGGCTTGGAGAATGTGTCTGTGAAGACAGGGTCTCACACAGCCCAGTCTGGCCTTGAACTTGCCATGTAGCTAAGGATGACCTTGAATTTCTGATCCTCCTTCGTCCACTTCCCTAGTGCTGAGACAACAGATATGTACCACCATGCCCAGTCTATGTGGTGCTGGGGATAGAACCCTGGACTTTGTGTGGGCTAGGCAAGCACTCTACCTGCTGAGCCACATCCACAGTCTGGTTCACATCATTCCAGATCATGGACCACAAGAGGCAAAGCCAGGATGTGGATGCACATCTTACAGCTCTGGGACTATAGTTCTCACCAGAATAGGGCTCTGTTCCCCACTGGAAGCATCTACTAAGTCTTACACAGATTGAAATGCAAGTTCCAGTCTTGGTAAGGTCCACTCTGCGTTTGGAGACCCCAGTGCCTGACCCTGTACTTCTCCCCCTGGATCCCTCCTGCTCAGCTTTCTTCCCAGGACAGCTGTTGTTATTCCCCTTAAGCTTCAGAGACCCTGAGGGAACTGCAGGCCTTCTGTGTCTTCACAATAGGCTTCCCTACCTTCCCTACCGTGGGCCGGCCTGCGTCCACATGCCCTGCAGCCTGGCTCAGTAGCTCTGGGGCAGGGCCTGAGACTCCAAATTTCTAGCAAACTAAGGATGATGCTTGGGGTCCAGGGACCACACTCTTGTCAGAAAGCGGCAAGAAAGCTGGGCATGCTCAGCCTCTGCTGCCTCAACACCTCTGTCCTAAGTCTCAAGTGGTCAGTTCTGTCCCCAAGGCACAGAGAAAGGACTGCCACCTTGCTTTCGTGGGTAGCACTGGCAGCTGGCAGGAGGCAGTAAGACTGCCCGCCCGGACCCTGGTGTGCTTCCGGAGGTGTCCCGGGAGCCACAGCTGTCCTCCCTGTGAGGAGGAGAGAAGCCCTTTTCTGCTGCCCTTCCCCTGTCCTCCTCTTCCTCTTCCTCCTCCTCTGGGGGCTTCCTCTGTGCCCTCATTGAAATTTTGCCCTTGCCCAAGAATCCTCGGCCGAGAGAGCTCATCCCTATTAATTTTCCTTGTGCATTTAGAGCCAATAGGTTTTTATTTATTCATTTATCTTGCCTTTCACCTCCCTCCCCTTCCTCACTAAGCTGGAATTTACAATTCAGTTCTCTAGAGGCCTTGCTGAAGGACAGGAATCTGGGAGAGTGGGGGTCCTTGGCTCCCCTGATACTCTCTGGGTGCTCTGGTTGGCTGGGTGCTGGGACAGGCAGGCCCACATCTGTCGTTAGCAGGAGGGTTGCCAGGGAGCAGGGATGAGCTAACCTTGGCAGGACTTGCAGGACCGAGAGGGCAGTGGGTGGTCTGGATGCCATTAGAGCTCCCCCTGGTGGCTGGCTAGCTACACCTGCCCCTACTAAAGGTGGTTAAACTCCTTAAGCATGCATCCACCACAGGCCGCCTACAGACAAGAAATGCAGACTGTGATGCGGTCAAGTTGGAGAGAAACAGAGTACTCCAGGGAAGCAGAGAAACCCAGGAAGCCACAGAGAGAGAAGTAACAATGGTGATGTAAGCTAATTATGGCCACTGCACACCAAGTGGCTCCCACGTGCCAGCCTGTACCTGGCCTGGCTGCCTTCCCGCTAGTGTGACACGCCTATGTTATTGTCCTTACGGTGACTCAGAGAGGGGAGACCATGCCCCCTGGTGGGTAAGCATGTGCTCTGGCCACAGACAAACTCCTGGTTTGCTTTCTAAGCTCCTTGACCTTGGAGGGCCTTAGGCAATCTTTCTAATCGTTAAAAAAGGATTAGACTGGGTCTTACCTCAGGTCACCCTCAAGATAGTTCAAGGAGGCATGCCCAGGCAGGAGGAATGTTAGTAAACAGCGGCATTGATGTTTAATCCAAACTGGGTATGATGCCCACCTCCCTAGAGAAGCCAGCTACCCTGAAGAAGGTTGCCCTCTGCCTGTCCCGGCAGCACCCTCATCCTTCTTGGACATTTGTAATCAAAGGCAAAGTCGAATCAGCCTGTCATGAAATATTTAAGTCCATCAAACAGCTGTCTAGTGTCTGAGGCCTCAGTCATTTGGGGGGACCTTTCTTTCCATCTTTCAGGAGACAGGAAGGGGTGGAGGAAGAGAACCCCAAAGTTCAGCTAGCATCAGGACCCAGAGGGGTGACCAGCTCTCCAGATAGCTGCTCTGGGTCCTGAGGTGTAGACGGGGCGACAGTCCAGACCTCAGGCATTTCCTGGCCAGCTTTGGCCAGGAGAGGGCCCCAGACTTACCTCTAGTGGTCATTTGCAGCCCCTAAGTCCTTGACTGGAAGCTGGCTCAGGTCCCCGACCCCAGCACAGTGAGGCAACAATTAATATTTAAAAGTCACAAATCCTGTTGAGACTCTAACAGCCCGGGGTGTGTGTGACTGCAGCAGAAGAGGGTTTAGTCTAGCCTCAGTCCTGACTTTTGGGGCCTTGTCTATCTTGAGCCTGGTCCTGATCCCCAGCTTAACAATGTCCACACACCATCCAGCCTTGGCTCTCTGCCCTAAGCTGTCTTCTTCTCTCTTCCTCCCTCCCTCTCCCCCTTCTCCTAGCTGGCCCAGGCCCAGCCACCACCCACAGTGACAGCCTTATCATCAGTGACAAGCCCAAGTGGGAATCTACCTTCCCAAGCTGGCTGCTCTGTGCTGTGACTGAAGCGGCCCCAAGGGATTCAGACATCCTCAGGAGCCCAGGCTGGGGACACCAGGTTGGCTATGCTATAAGCTCAGGGACCTGGCAGCTTCCCCCAAGGATACTCAGAGGTACCGGCCACCTGCAGGGTGATGCTAGGCCCCTCCTGCCTGCTCCCCTGCAGCTTGTCTGCTCTGCCCAGCCTCTGCCAGGGACAAGCCTGCCGAATGTTACCCAGCCAGCATAGATCAGCAACTCTGGAGTGCGACTCCCAGCTTCATCACTTTCTGATGTATGACCTTGGCCAAAGGCCTTCACCCCTCCCGTCTCAATTTTCCCATCTGTTGGACTGGAATGACAAAAGCACACATGTGGGGCACTTACTCTGTGTCTGGTCCGATTTTGAACAACACACATACATTCATTGAACCATTGATCCCTCACAACCATCCCGAGTGTGTGCTGCTAGCGTGCCCATTCTATAGGTGACAGAGCAGAAACCCAGAGATGCTGGTCTGAGCCACTACTCCCAACCCCCATCATTCTTTGTCCAACATAGGCTCAGCCTGGCAGAGCCCAGAGGAAAGCCCCATGGAAAAAACCCCGAGCTCTCAGCCCCACACTTCAGAAGCCTGGTCAGACTGTCATTATGACCACCTTGTTAACAGCACTTGAGTGCTGAAACTCTCTGGGGCTCCAAGATCCTTCCCATCTCTAACTAGGAGCTTAGGTGATGAAGCCTGAGTATCTGTTTGACTATGGGATGGAACTGGTCAGGATGCTGGTCACACTACCTGTCCAGCCTGATTCCCCTTCCTCCTTGAGGAATCCCCTCCAAGCTTCCCAGCTTTCCTTCTGCAAAGTGCCTGCTCAGTGCTTGTTGAGTGCTGGGAGGTATTCTGATGCTGTATGCTAGAATGGACAGAGCAGGCTGGGATGTATCATGATGCTGTGTGCTAGAATGGACAGAGCAGGCTGGGAGGGTTCTGACAGGAGTGAACTGATCCATGGTGGAGGGTACCCTTACTTCCTCCAAAGGAGGGCAGGAACTGTGAATACTGTGCTCTTCTGGATGGGAAACCACCCCAAAGTTAACTGGTCAAGATCACCTCTACCCACAAAATGTCACATGACCCCCAGTGTCCTCAGGGCAGCCTATTTATGGCACCTTTCCATGGCTGGACCAAAACCTTGGAGTTGGTCTTGCTTCTGGGCCCTCTGGTTCTGCTAAGCCACCCTGAGGGTTTGTCTCAGGACCCACCCCCTAGCTCCACCAGTAACAGACCAGCAGTGGGTGGGGCTGACTTACATGGGAGCAGAACCTCTCAGGGGGGTCTCCGCACGTGATGCCAGAGGGCTCCACCTTCACCTTGACGTAGTCCTTCAGGCGCATCACCTTGGGCTGGCAGGCATAGAACTCCCAAGTGGGGCCCTCATCCGTGGTCACCCAGGATTTGCAGATGTCATAGTCCCCAGAGACCAGCGGGAGGCAGTGCAGGAGGAGGGCCAGCAGGTGCAGCATGACTGAAAGTGCACAGGGGTGGGGCCCACAGGGGCCCTGGTGAGGTGCCGGTGGAGTCAGGGGGGACTCGGGGCCTCAGCATGGAAATGCCACATCTACCAGGTGGTGGCGGCTGGGATGTCTCAGAGACCCCAGCACTGCAGGTTTGCCCAGCGGCGAGGAGTTTGTGTTTTCCCAATGGCCGATATGGAAAAATCCAGAGCCAGCGTTTCTCAGACTGCTGATGGGCAGATCAAAAAGTTGCCTGTAACTTCTTGTCCTCCTAACCTTGGCGTTTTACACCTCTCCCGGAGGTGAAGCTGATCAAATCGGGCAGACTCTCAAATTGTGATGGTGGATGGAAATGGGATAAGGAAGAAATCCGCAGGGATCCGGCATGGGGCTGGATCAGATTGCTTTTAATTTCTGTCCTTCCAATCAATCCAGGTCTTTCAAGGGCCCATAATGTGTGATGTGCTCAACACGACTGTGTAACTGCCCTCTGGCCTGCATGGTGAAGATAAAATAAAATCAGGAGGTGTACATGTTATAGCGGGGAAACGCATTCCCTCTTTGGGACTGGACTTGGCATCTCAGACCAATAAAAGAGATTTCTTTTCATATGGGCTGAAAGTGACAGCGACTGTGTGACTAGACTGGAAAAAATTTAAAAGCCACTGAGGTGTTGACTGGGGAGGCCACTTGCTTCTGCTCTGGTGGGGACAGGCACTAACGGGGGAGGTGGCAGCTGACCTTGGTTAGTCACCATCAGCCACTTATTGTGATGCTCCTGAGACTTTGGCTCTCACACCATCAGGTACCTGGGGTCTGGCTTGTCTTTCATTGTACAGGGAGGAGAGAGACCGTGCTCATTAGCAACAGCACCTGCAACAAATTAAAAGGGAGGCATTAGAGAGTATAGAAACAAAAGCTCTCTGACAAAATGTGTAAAAAAAAAAAAAAAGCAAAAAAAAAGAAGTTGCATTAGCAAAGTCTCCAGAGAAAATTGGCTTATTTTTATTAATATCAGAGTTGCGCATTTAAAGATGGGCATATTCTTAAAAAGGTGGCGTGCTTCCTCATCCTTTATGGGACTGTTTGTTCAATGAAAATGCCCCTGCTTGAGGGTCAGGGACTCTTTAAGCATCCCTGAGTCACTGATTAATGGTTGCTTTAAAACATCATGCCCAACCAGTCAAAATGTCAAAGTTGTAAAAGGAGGAAACCCTCCTCACAGCAATGGGGAGGGCCCTGTGTGGGCCACCAGCAAACTCCTCCCTAGTCATGAGCCCACTAGGAGACAATGAATTTAATGTTCTTAAACAACGAGAAGTTAGGATCACAGGAGAGCCTTCCACAGGAGTCAAGGTGTCCTGTTGTATTAGGTTTTCTGAGCGAGGCCAACATTCTGGTCATTTTCGGAGGATAAAGTCTATTGCTTTATTAGTTTAAGCCTGTGGTGATTATTTAAGAGCCCAAATAGCTGTAACTAATAGGACTATTGCATTGAAAAGCACATGACTCTTAGATAGTGGCGTGCTCCCAGGCACTTGCCACATCACTGACGAATTTGAGTCCTGCGGGTGTGGGATCCCAGCCAAAAGCACTGGCCAATAGGGCAAAGGTTACTGTGATGAGTTATAGCAAGAAAATGTTGTTTTATTAATTATTCTGGTTATAATGCCTAGGGTCGTTGCATTCTAATTCCCCAAACTGACGGTGGCTTCTCACTTGCTGTCCTTGTCAGCCACTGTATATAGAAGGTCCCTGGGGAATTAACTGTGTTTGCATGAAACCTTACCACCCAGACACAAACATGCCCCTGCCCCAAATGACAAGTGGAAAGAAAGGACACTACCACCCAGTCTGGCTACTGAGCTCCTTGCTCAGGGAGAAGCCCCCAGCCAGCCACCCCTCCGCTCTAGGCTGCAATGGGGCCTCCTCCTTCTACATTATGTGCTCCTCTCCCCTCCCTTGGAATGAAGGACTCAACACAGATGAAGGAGGATCCAACCAGACCACATTTTCACACCTCACCTCTAACTGCTTAAAGAGAAACCTGTTCTAGAGTCTGCCTGGCCTTGAATATGCTCCATGCTAGAAAACTCTCAGAACGTGCCCAGTGTCTATTTTTACAACCTGAGAAAAATGTAGTAAAAATAAAATAACAGGGCCCAGCAAAGGTTTGGATGTTTCCATCCAAGCTCTGAGCTGCCCAGAAAACAGCATGCCCCTAATTAATTCTTCCAGCAGCCCGATTCCCGACTGTTCACTAACAGGTAGGGAGCTCCTCAAGGCTGGGGACAACCAGAGCACCGGGTTGTGGCTCTCAAGGAGGTTTCATCTACAGGAGCTGGGACCAGGCTGGACCCTGGTCCAGGTGAGAGAGCTGGAGCCCCAGTGAGCAGTAAGCGGTGCAACTCGCAGATCTATTAATTGCCTTGCAGTTTTGTTGGCTTAAGCGCCACGCATTCCCTAGAAAATGAGGGTGGGGGGAAACAAAATCTGCCAGGGGAAAATGTGTTTACAACCAGTCAATCAATTGGGCGTTGTTGGCATCGAAGAGGAACTGTGAGCTCAGCACTCGAATACTGCAGTTGATTTTTGCCAAAAAGAAATAAGGGGAGGGGGTAGGCAAGGGTCCCCGGAAAAAAATGATGTGGATAGCAGGGAGCGAGGAAGCGGGCAGGAGAGATTTCAGAGTAAGAGGTTTGCATCCTAGTGGATGGTTCTCTCCTTGGAAATAAATCTCCACCTGATATTATTAAGAAACTGCATCGCCAGAAACAAATGCAATCAATGCGTTTTATTTTCTTTTAAGAGTCCTCAGGAACCGAGGGGGGTTGATAGCCTGGGTATTAAAACCTGAAAATTAGATTTTATCAGGATTTCTGAACTCAGATTTCTCTGTCTTATTGAATTAGCGCCTCTCGGAGCTGGCCGTGCAGCCAGCAGGCTCCTGCCGGAATCTCGGGCTACGCGCCCTTCTCAAGGGAAACTTGCCTCTGCGGTCGCGGGGTCCCTGGGGATCCCGGGGGTTGGGGTGTGTACAGGGAGGGGTCGGGGACTGGGGGGCAGTCTACCTGGAGGGCTCTAGTCCCATCTGTGCGGGACAGAGGGCAGAAGGGAGCGGTGGGAGAGGTGACCCACAAAGAAAGGGGAGCCCCAAGGGTGGGGGGTTACCTTCCCACCTCCCAGCTCTCGCCGCTCCCAGGGTGGGCGTCTGGGTTCGGATGTCCCGGTGCGCCCCCTGCCCCAGACCTCGGGTTCCTCCCTGACTCCCTCTCCGCGGCTGGGGAGCCCGGGAAAGTTGGACTCTTGGGGGGCGGGGCACGAGCACCCGGCTCTGCTCCTGGGTGGCTGGGGAGGCCGCGGGTCTGTCTCCGAGTTCGGGTGGGGCTAGCTTGGGACCCGCAGACGCCGGGGAGAGAGTCCGGCTCCAGTCGGCACTGAGCTGGGGGGCCCGGCAGGCAGCGGCGAGCACTGCACCCGGAGCAGCTGGGCAAACCCGCCGCTGCCTTTTGCCTCTCCGAAGTTGCGTGCAAACCACGGGCGCAGTTAACAATCACGCCTTTAATAAAGGCCGGGCCGGCATCTAGGATGGCCCCTCATTTGACATCGCCTCCCTTAATGAAAAGACACTGCGCAAAGCTCGGGAGAACTGCCAGCATCCTTTTCCCCCCAGGCGCCGCTGCTCTGCAGGGACCCTGTCGCCGCCCCCTCGGCCCCCAGCCCCAGCCCAGACCCGCAACTTACTCGGGAGCCGAGGGACCCGGGAGCCCATGATGCTCTTCCCGCCTTCGAGCTGCCTGTGCTCCCCCTAGCTCCAGTTCGAGTCCCCACGGTGATGGAGCTGTGCACCCCTCTCACCCCCCAATCCTTCACCTTCCATCCCCTCCACAGGGCGGAAAGAAGTTTCTAGCCAGGCTGGCCAAGAGTTCTCCGTGCGCCTGCAGAGATCGCAGAGCACGGGCTGGGGTGGCTCTGGATGGCGGAGACTTAAATCAGGGCGGGGGAGCGGCGCCGGAGAGGGCGAAATTCGTCTTCATAAACACATGTAAGCAAGCATTCTTGCAGCGGTCCATCCCCACCCCACACGCGCGCACAGGATGGAAAAAGACCGGCTGGAGGGCGGGGGACAAGCTCACTCCCTTCAGATGTTGCACGGGCGCGCACACACACACACCCCTCTCCTGCGACTCCAGTCCTCCGCTCGAAGCAGCCGCCACCAAATAACTTTTGCATCCGAGCCTCTGCTGGGCTGCCCGGAGGAGCTCCCGGACCCGGAGAGAGCTTGCACGGTCACCGAAGCCCTTTCAAAACGAAAGCATCCTGGGCAAGCTGCAGCGCCTCTGTCCCCGCCCGCCGCCCGGGCTCTGAGCGCCCGCCTTACCCAGGCTCGGAGCAGCTTCCCGGAGCCAGACCCGCGAGGTTAGGGGAACCGCCACCCTCTGGGCTGCGACCCGGGCTCCCGCCCCGCGCCGCGGCCGTGGTGGCAGCAGTCAGATCGGGACTGGGGAGCCCTCGGACCTCCCGGGAGCACGCCCGCAGCGGTCCCGGAGACGCGGGCCCGGGGAGGGGGCCGCCCGCGCTGCCCGCATCGCCCGCCCGGGCCGAGCAGGAGGTCGCTGCTAACAAGTGCAAACTTTTGGGGCCCCCTAGGTGGCAACGGGGGGACCCGCGCGCACGCGTCGCGCAGCCCCCGGCCCTGGTGGGCTTCGCGGCGGCTGGTCCAGGCGCCGGAGCATCCCCCCCGGGGCGCGGCGCCGGCCAGATGGCGGGGAGCCTCACCGCCCCCTGCACTCAGCTCCAAGTTAATGCCGAGGCTAAATCCTCCTGCCAGCACTCACGGTCACCATCGGGGCTTTTATCTCCCGGTCTGATCCGGGCTGCGTAACTTCCTCTGTGTGGCTTTAACACACCATCCCACCACGGAGCAACGGTCTTCTTAAAGGTGCAGGAAGGAAATACTGCGAGGCTCCGGGGACGAGCCTCGGCCCGGGGAGGGGCGCGGCGAGCAGGGGCGTCCGGGCGGGCCGGTGGCCAGGGTGGCCCCAGCAGGCGGCCGCCGGAGCGAGCCTGCTGTAGGGGGTCGCTGCCTACACATCGCCTCGCGGCCTGGGGGCCAGCGGGTCCCTGAGCACCGAGCGCATCTTCAGCCGGCTCGGGTCAGGCACCGCGGGGGATGCAGCTCCCTTTTCCAAACTGGGGAACCTGACGGTGTGCCAGCACCCAGGGGCGTGGGGACTGCCCCATTGGCACCAGGGAGGGGCCCAAGTGAGTCAGCCCCCAACCCCCCACAGCCAGGGCTCCAGGCTGCGCTCTCTCTCTCTCTCTCTCTCTCTCTCTCTCTCTCTCTCTCTCTGAAGCGCTGCCACCCAGAAGGCCCTGAGCAAGTGGGTAAAGGGGTGGGTGGGCGGATTTGGGGAGCTGGGGAGGGGGAGCGCTCTGAGCGCACAACCAGAGCCTGAATACCAGCTGACACATCGCCGCCTCCAGCCTGATGGGCCCTGCTTTTGAGAAGCCAAGCCAGCTCTGTGGGGAGGGAGCGCAGAGTAGCAGGGCAGGAGGGGCCTCGCTCAGGGGCTTTTCTGTCTCCCTGGGGCTGGCCTGGGAGGAGGGCGTGGGAGGACTCCTGCAGAGACAGGGCCGAAGCCACCAAGTTTGGCAGCTAGGGCAGCTTTGTGCTCTCTTCAACCCCTGGAGGCTTTCTGCCAAGCTGCCTCCTGGGCTGTGGGGAGCGCTTCTTGATCTTCTAGGGGAGCTTGAGGGTTTGGGGGGACGCTCCTGGCCTTCTTGGGGTGGCTTCTTACTGCAGTGCACTTGTAACCAGCACTGTCATTCGGGAGCATCAAGAACAAAGGGCCTGGGGGGGGAGGGAGGGA